ATGCAGATATAAATATAAGATGGTGAGCGAGATACGTGTAGAGATATGCAGATAAAAATATAAGCTGGTGAGCGAGATACGTGTAGAGATATGCAGATATAAATATAAGATGGTGAGCGAGATACGTGTAGAGATATGCAGATATAAACACAAGATGGTGAGTGTGCGCGGAAGCTGTGGGGTAAATGTCACTATGATACGGAATTGCCAATCACAGTTGCAATAGGACTGCTCTAAAAGCAATGATTGGCATCACAGTGACGCAGACTTGACATTTTGGCGTGCACAATCGAGAAACACATACGAACTGGTTGAACTAGCCCAGCCTAGCAGCAATATTTAAGGTGGGGGTGGGTGGCGGTGGCGGGGGTGGGGAGTGGTGGGGTTCATGATCATCTTGCTTACACGCAAAGGTCACTTACGTATCTACGGTTATAATCCCAGTAATCTCATGATCTATTACTAACGAAGCTATTACTAACGAAGCACGTGTTATGAGTGCTGGCGTGAGATTCATCCTCAGCGAGGAGCACTTGACACTGCACGCCGACACGCCTGCCTTCTTGTCGGACGTTATCTTACGCTCGTGATGGCGTGTTACAATACCGTCGTTGCCTGTTCATTTAGCGCGTCACATTTGATTTGCTTTCTAATTGTACCGTACACAATCTATCATCCGAAATTATGAAAACGGAAAAGGTCCGAAAACCAAGTTTTTTTGTGGAGGCCATCTGCAAACCCAAGCTCGCGTTTGGCTGCACAAGGTTCACTGCAGAATTATGTGTGTGTTTGGCATTGCTCATACATATTGTACTCTACCGGTACAGCACTTGGCCTCTTGAAAACTTGGGGTTTTAGTACTGGTTAGTTGCAGAATATACGGTATAATGTATATCTGTACTGTACTACCATAACCCCCCCCCCCAAGGGTTCCCAAGGGTTTCGGGTTTCGGGGGTTTAAGGGGGGGGTCCGAAGGGTTTCGGATAATAGATTGTGTACTGTATTCTGCGCGTCGCACTGCCGGGCGTCGGTCGTCGTCTCGAGAGAGCCTACGCAGCGTATTAGCCAGCGAGCCGTGCAGCGTATTAGCCAGCGAGCCGTGCAGCGTATTAGCCAGCGAGCCGTGCAGCGTATTAGCCAGCGAGCCGCACACCCGAAGAGATTCCTCTCCCTCACAACGCCGCCGGCGTCGCACACACCTAACGTGTCCTCTTCCCTCCGCTGCTCGCACACGCGAGGGCGCCACCCATTCCCTGTCTCCCGCGCGCCTACGCGCGGACGACGGCTGCGTCGTCCACCTGCGTCTACCCTCCCCCTCCGTGCCGCGTTCCCCGCACGTCCGCGCAGCGTCAGCCCATCCGTAGATCCGCTTCTACTCGGAGCCAGGAAAACGTGCTTCTCCACTCAGCGGCCGGCGAACACGCCCCCGCACAGGTTACATAAAATACCACAGAACGCGCTCGACGATTGTCGCCTCTTCAACCTCCGAAATCGCTCCCCGTGCAGGCTCAAAATACGCTCCCCGTAAAATTTTGGACGAGCCGCTATTTTGTTCTACACGACGTCTGAAAACAAGCAGCCTCCTGTGACAAACCAATGTTCATTTTTTTCTCTGCCCTAACAAGAACCAACCGGGGGTCTCGGCGGGCCGAACGGTAGGTACGCTTGGAAAGCATGCCCCTGCCAGAACAACGCGGGTTCAGCCGGGAAGTAGGAGGCAGTGGAAACGAGCCCTGCATAGAAACAACTGGAGTTTTCAGCAGGGAAAGGCTAGGAGGCGTGAGATATCAACGCCCCCTGCAAGATACAAGCGGAGGTTCAGCAGGCGGAAGGTAGGAGGCATCGGCGAACCACCCCCGCATATGAACAACCGCTCACGTGCTTGGGTTCCGTACTCTGACGCGCACTGCGGCTGCTTACTCTGCAGCCTGGAGACAAAGTCGCATGAGCTCTCCTCGCCATGTCGTCTAGCTGCTCCGAGTCGTGCGTCGCCGTCGCCCGCTAGACTGCCAACCCTATGACGACGCATCTCGCTGCATCACGACAAGAACCACTGCCATCACAGTACAGCGCTACGACTCATCGACCTATCCTATACATGAACCGACGCACTGCACAGATCAAGAACACTGCACTCACACACCACGCACACAGCTTCATCCGACCTACGCTAACATCCACGCACGCCACTGCACCGACACCAGCCAACACTGCATCATCATAACACCGCGCACCCCATCGACCCTCGCTAACCATGAACCGACGCCTACTGCACAGACCAAGCAACACCTGCATCACACTATCACCCGCGCACCTCCATCCGACCTACCGCTAACATGACCGGACGCACTGCACCAGACAAGCAACAGTCTTGCATCACATACACGCTCACACCTCACCCGACCACACGCTAAATCATGACGACGCCCATCTGCCACAGAACAAACACTGCATGAACTACAGCGCACCACTCACCGACCGACACACCCACAGACCCTATGCTAACAGACAAGATGCACTGCAGCAGACAAGAACACTCGCATCACACTACACCACACAGCTCACCGACAACACACAACAGAAACCTACGCTAACCATGCACAATGCACCTGCACAGCCCAGAACACTGCATCACATATCACATACATCGCACACCCCCCTCCCGCCGCACCGCTTCGCCCCTCCCCGCCCCGCCCGCCCCGCTCACTTTCCGTTCTTTCACGCGCGCTCGCCGCGACAGCGTCGCACGGCCGAGTGCCTTACCTTGGCGGCGATCGCACAGAACTTAGCTTGTAAGAAGCGGCTGGTGGCGCCGACCAGATACTGACCCACATCGTTCTTGCGCGTACCGCCCGGTCGGCGTCCATCTACCTCGCCGCTGCTGGATAGTAGCGAGCGCCGCCTTCGACCCACTGCAACAAGGACAACGCACATGATACCGATTCAGTCAGCCTCACCTCCATGCGTAATTAGGTCAGGATATGACGTATTGCTGACTTGAGCCCCTCGCGTCCGCAGGGTAATTAGTCAAGGAATCGAGTAATTGTGGGATTGGCCAGAAAAAAATATTGAGAGGTGGCAATTTTACAAATGTACCCGGGCTTTAGATCAATGTGTCTCAGCCAAAGACGGCCGTCAGTGCGGTCTCGTGGAAAAAAACGCCACACGCATTCAGCGGGTAGAGGATAAGAGGGGTCCTCCCCCCTCTCATCCTGGGGGCTAACAGGGGGGCCTCCCACGGAAAATTATTTTGTTTTTTGGCCGTGCAGCTTTCAAAACTGACCAGTCTTGCAACAGCACGCTTGCCAC